TCTAGATAATTTTCTGTAATTGAAAGATATTATAGTCAACTAAATATATGAAAAATAAATAAAAATTCAATAATACTAATTATAAACTATTTTATTACTCTAAAAGTATATTTTATGTTATTTAAAAATATTTTTAAATGTATTATTACTATTTTGTGAACTTTCCTTTTTTATGAAATTATATTATATATACATATTTTTATGTTATTTAAAAATATTTTTAAATGTATTATTACTATTTTGTCAACTTTCCTTTTTTATGAAATCTTTTTGGAAATTTTTGAAAAGGAAAAACTAAAAAGAAAAGAATTAATAATACTATTTTCAACTATTTTTAATTCATTAAGGGTATCAGTGTAATCAACCATCGTGAGAATGAACGTGAGAGCGACACATAGGAAACTGACAATTTAAGATATATTGTGCTTAGAATGAATTAAAAATTAACTAAAGTGTCTGATTCCAAAATACGTAAATTAATATAACGAAAATACTCTAAAGTCTCATGGATATATATAAATTTTACAAAAGAACTAAAATTGTAAGAGTTGGTTAGTATTTATTTTTATTTGTTAATATGTTTGGAGTTATCATATGATCAATATAAGGTTACATGCACTTATAAATTCTAAATAACTTTATGCTTTAGATTTATTGAATGTAAACTGAAATTTATTTTAAATAATCTTAAATTGAGAATTCAGATTTGCTTTGATATTTTGATTATGGTTAAATTTATTTTCACAAATATAAAACATAAAATTTAAAACAATTAATATTAATAAAATAAATAATTTTAATAATGATAAAATATCATATATCTAGCTCATTAGAACAATTATTTTGACCAAACGATGTTTATTGTTAAATTTATTTTTAGTTTTTAATATCTCTTAAAAATAAGCACTACACAAAATTGTGATTGTATTTGAAAATAATCTTATATAAGCAAAGTATAAGTTCTAGATAATTTTCTGTAATTGAAAGATATTATAGTCAACTAAATATATGAAAAATAAATAAAATTCAATAATACTAATTATAAACTATTTTATTACTCTAAAAGTATATTTTATGTTACTTAAAAATATTTTTAAATGTATTATTACTATTTTGTGAACTTTCCTTTTTTATGAAATTATATTATATATACATATTTTTATGTTATTTAAAAATATTTTTAAATGTATTATTACTATTTTGTCAACTTTCCTTTTTTATGAAATCTTTTTGGAAATTTTTGAAAAGGAAAAACTAAAAAGAAAAGAATTAATAATACTATTTTCAACTATTTTTAATTCATTAAGAGTATCAGTGTAATCAACCATCGTGAGAATTAACGTGAGAGCGACACATAGGAAACTGACTTCTCAAATAATATTATAGAGATTCCAACCTTCAAAATTGTTTTCTTCTGCATAATACTTTGAATATGAGTTAGTATCATGGAATATCTATAGTGGGTCTTTTCTGATTTTTATTAAAGAAAAGTTAATTTGTTATAATTAGCTTAGTGAAATCATAATTGTTTATTATTGACTGTAGATACTAGAAAACATTTAACAATTGCATAGGTGTTGTTGGTCTGATTAATTGATGGATATCTTATATAACTACTGAATTGCCCCCAACAAGCAAGGCATATGGGACCAACCTTGGTCGTAATAAGAAGGGGCACTTTCGAAACTTTGTACACATATCCTTAATACGATTCTGCGTTATGGAAAAAATACTAGTTTAGATCATATGATATATTTGACCCAAAAAAAGAGATCATATGATATATTATCATTACTAACAAACGGTCGATTACCTAAAGCTACACTTTTGGATTATACATTTAAACACGCGTTACAGGTGTCTCTAGATATAACGGTGAGGGTGATAGCTTTTGTAAAAATGTCTGAATAGTCAGTCTCTAAACTGTGACAAAAAAAAAATATAAGAAGGCACTAATCTCGTGACGTTTTAAGACCAAAAAGTGTAGCAGACAGTCGACATAAGATAAAATCACAACCATGGTGGGCTTACAAGAAGCTCCTTGAGCTGAATTCAATAATATAAGACATTGATTTTATAATTGAAATAAAAGGGTAAATAAGTAAATCAAACAAATACGAGACGTTATAAATAAGAGTAAGCTCGAGTTGACTCATTCTTCACTCAATATTGTACAAGAAAGGAAACAGAGGAAAACAAGAACTCTTAAGAACCATACAGTTCATGTTCTTCTTCTTGCTATCTTTTAATGGCGTCTGAAGAGAGCATGATGATCAACTCTTCTTCATTTTTAGATGAAGAGTACGACGATACAGATGATGGGTTTCATTACCAGACAAGGCAAAGCAGTTTGTCTAGGTTATCCATCTGCACGACCTCCTTCCACGACGAGGATGAAGATAACTTAACAAACCATCCTTCCGAGCTGGGTAACTTCATCTCTGAGCTTTCGCTGGAGAGCTTCGATGACGTTGGAGCCGAGGCGGACGGAGAAATCTCCGATGACCGTGAAGATTCTGATTCCCATAAGGAACCTATTGGCTTCTACTTACTCCCGACGATCATGTCTCGCCAGAGAAGAAAAGTCACTGTTTCCACTGATGGCAGTAAGTGTAATTTAGTTAAGCAAAGAAGAGTGTTAAGAGAAAAGTGTAAAAGAGGGAGTCAGTACGGTCACGGGTTTAACGGTGTGGAGAGAGAGAGCGATGGAGACGGAAACCGTTACGGGGGAGGAGGAGAAGGAGAGTTAACGGTGTTAACGAAGGTGAAAGGAGGCAAAAAGTCAATGAAGATGGGTTATGAGGAAGTGAAGGCTTGTAGAGACCTCGGGTTCGACCTGGAAGTTCCGGGTCGGGTTTCAGTATCCGCCGGGTCAAACCGGGAGACTCAGACTAGTAGTGGCGGCAACTCTCCTATTGCCAACTGGCGTATCTCAAGTCCTGGTATAACCATAAAAATAACTATAATGTCACATGTATCAATTTTAATCCTTAGAGAAAATATTAATTTCATTTTGCATGGTTATTAAATTAGGAGATGATCCGAAGGAGGTTAAGGCGAGACTGAAGATGTGGGCACAAGCAGTAGCTTTAGCTTCTGTGTCACGTTAAGGCTTTTTATGTTCGGGTTTGTCACACAGTCTTAAGAGTTACTACGAGTTTTTCTTAAAATAGTAACTCTTCTTTTGGCTTTGTAAATATGAAAGCTATACTGTATTGTTTTGTTCAAGCTATAATACTACACAATGACTTGTAAACAATTCACCTTGATTATGTGTTACTCTTTAGTTTGGAAAGCAATAATAATGAGGAATTTCAACATTCAAGGGACCCTCTCAAGACCAAAGCACCCAGAATTTAATAACCCTAAAGAAAGTTTCACTTTTATCAAAAGCAGAGTCTGATCGATATAGATCCGGATGCTTTGTGAATGGATCCAATATATCGAAGGAATATATGTTCTTTTTTTTTTTTACATCATTGTCAGTTGAATATTATATAAGCAAGGATGTGAAACTTTGTCATCATTTTTCACCGATCAGATTCGCTGATTTAATCAAAGATATCGTTTAGTGCCAACTCTCAGAAAAAACTATATCCAAAAGTATCAAAGATTATGAGAGTAGTAAGAACATGATATGCTTAAAAGACTAATAAACCATGAACATGGCGCTGTACAACAAAGACAAGGCCACACTGTCTTACCTTCAGAGTACTCGATCATCTCGACGGTACCTCTGTTGCTACACCAGAAACCGAGAAAACATGGAAAGAACGAGACAGACTTGTGAAGATGTTGATCTATGAAACCATAACAGACTCACTCGTTGAAACGATTCTCACTCCGAAGAGCACTGCTTGTGACTTATGGATGTCTATTGAGAATTTGTTTCGTGACAACAAGGAGAACAGAGCCCTTCAGCTCGAGAACGAACTCCGCACAATAAAGATCGGTGACTTGCCCGTACAAGAATATTGTCGCAAACTTAAATCGCTCTCCGATCTTCTTGCCAATGTGGAGTCACCAATAACGGATCGTCAGCTCGTAATGCACTGTCTAAACAGCGTCAATAACAAGTTTGAAGGCATTCATAATGTCATCCGGCACCAATCCCCGTTTCCGAGCTTTCACACCATACGATCCATGCTACTTTCAAAAGAAGAGAGGCTTAGTAGGCAATTGATATCTTGCATATTTTCATTGTTTTAGCAATTCATTTTGTACATAAATTATCATATACATTAGGGTTTAGATATCTTTAGGTCCATATTGCATTCATATGTCCTTATTAGGTGTCGGAGTGTGCCATGGAGTGATTGGAGGTGTTTGAGAGCATTGTAATTCAAAAGGGGGTGAAAGATGAACATGGATTGAGGTCTTAAAGATGTCTTTTGTTTCTAAGATTCTGGGAAGAGATAGGAAATTGAGTAAGCTTTCCAATGGAAGTGGTCTCAGGTCAATCAGAGTTGTATGTTAAGAGTTATGGCTAATTTACTAGACATATATCACTACTCGAGTAAGCCCAGCGGCCTAGAGACATCACAGCGGCTTAGCAACAATGTCGAGAAGCCGCTGGAGATGGAAACCCCCAGAGACTAAGTGTGCCAGCGGCTTACGGGAGTGGTTTTTGGCAGCGGCCAAAGGTGAATTTCGGGAATTAAATTAGTCAAAGTCCCTGTTTGATATCGGCATGATGCAGCGGCCTCCATAGGCCGCTGTGGGCGTAAAAAAGTCAAGAATTTGAGTTTGACCAGACTTTTTATCTCTTTTGTTTGGGCCATCTCAGGTTAGTTGGGTTGGCCCAGTTCGATTTTAGTTTGCTATAAGTACCCTTAAACCTTATTTTGGGGATCTTATCTTCTTTTCTCTCAAAAACACATTGAAAAGTTGAATCCTTGATTAATATAATCTTTGTTTCTTGAGTAATTTGAGTCTATTTCTTCTTCCAATCATGATTAGTCTTCTATCCATTATAGGTTTAAGATTAAACATGAAGATTAGTGAGTAGACTCTCTTTGAGCTTATGGGTTAGGGTGATTAGGGTGATTAAGTGATGATCTAGGGTGATTAGTGTTATATCCTTCTTGTCCTATTCTTATTACTTATTCTCAATGCTAGATTAGACCTAATCCTTCTAAACTAGATCATTAGGCATTTCATGCCCACAAGGTGTATGATGAAATGCCTGAACCAAAGTAATAATGATTTTTGCTTGCGTAACCAAGGATACTTCATGTTAGGAAGGCTTAGATGGTTAGTAGACTTGTTCTCAATGATTGCTTGATTGATTTAGACCAATGACCATTTGTGTTTAAAGATTGATAGCAAATGAGCTTTTACCTTGACCAAGGACTAGCTTAGAATTGTGTCTAGACCTATAGGATATGAATGATTGCTTGAAACCTCACCCTAGATANATGGTTAGTAGACTTGTTCTCAATGATTGCTTGATTGATTTAGACCAATGACCATTTGTGTTTAAAGATTGATAGCAAATGAGCTTTTACCTTGACCAAGGACTAGCTTAGAATTGTGTCTAGACCTATAGGATATGAATGATTGCTTGAAACCTCACCCTAGATAGTAACTTGATCACCCAAAGTCAATACCCTTATCGATATGCTATTTTATCTCATTGAAACCAAAGCTTAGTTATTCTTGTTTACATATTGCTTGTTACGAGTTACTTATAAAACAAACCCTCATTGATTGCATTTAGATTAAGCAATGTCTTGCATTCTCTTTGTTCAATAGCTCTCAGGATTGGATTGACACTCTACTTACCTTACTACATTGATTTTCTTTAAGGCTTAAAAACCCTTATCAGCAATCTCGACCCGCCATCACCCACAGCGAAAATTCCTCCTCACCGAATGTGATGTTTGCTGCCTATGAAACATCCTCTGACCCGTCATCTCGATTGTGGGAGTCGATTTCACCCTACTGTCAAATAAATCGTAAATAAGGAAACTTCGGGAAAAACCCTAAGTTTCCAGAGGAACCGGCTATCTGCGAGAACCGCACAACGAAAATAAGAAAACGATAACTTAGAATTAAAACGAGAATAAACGAAAAACAAAGAGAGCAAAGAGTTTCTTATTCCGAATCTGCGTAGAAC